TGTATGGTCTGTACCCTCCTGGTACCTACACCACCTTCAGCAAAAGCCATGAGAAGGGCAAGGACTACTATCAGAACATCCACTACTTGAAAGAACATGGACCTGGTCATGGACACCAGCAGAAAGTCTTCCCAAGATCCTCCTAGTGCTTCACAACTTGTCATATGTAGCTGCACTGTGAATTTTAAAGCTTGTGCAAAACTTGTATTTTTCCTTTCCCCTGCAGATACTCCTGCCATTTTTATCGTTGGTCAAATAAAAATGGTGAAAAATGGCATCTGAATTGTGTAGAACCTTTATGGGTGTAAGTGCTTGAAGGAAATTCTCATTTATATTTGGGTGATCTAGTCTCTYAAAGTCACATTAGGTTTTAACTTGGTGTGTGCCTTAACCAGGATCCCCCTCAGCACCTGTGAAATTTCCTATAAAACGTTTTTCAAATCAAAGGAGTAGAGTAGCAAAGGATCTCTAAAGGTCAGGGTGTTGCAGTGGTCAAAAAGCTAAACTTTGTGTAAGCTAAAGGCTAATTAGACCCTGTTGGTTCTAAATGGGTTTTTGCCTATTTTAACTTAACCCTTAAATTACCTATAACACAACCAACAGACTAAGTCTCATACTCCAGTTTTTTTTTTTTTTTTTTCCCCCCCAAGCAACTTTTATTTTTGGCTTGGCAAGTTTGACAAAATCTAACTTATTTTTCAATGAAATATAAGTATCACATGACTGACCAGCTAGATTTGTGGTCACCCTGTCTGTGTAGCACTTGTGTAAAATGGACACCGTTCAGGCATCTGTGAGTGTTCAGTGGTTTCCACAGCAGATGCAGCTGTCAGGTCAGTAGGACAGAGACTGCACCATTACAGCTCTATTTTTGGGAACGTGTGTTGTTCAAAAGGTCAGATAATGAAGTGCAGGAATCCTCTCAAAGCGGGGGGTGGAGGTGGATACCCACAAACGCCAACACATCTTAGACACAGCAGCGTTGCCTGAGAGGGGACAAGTGAYGTTTTAGTCTTTGTCTTTAAAAAAAAACCAAGATTCCTGTGGCATCAAAAGGTTTGATCTATCTTTTAATCAGTAAAATAATCTGGAGATCATGGAAGAATCCCTCACTCAAGAAACAAGCTGTCAATCAGACGCCACCAACAAAAACCAGGTTTGTTTCATTTTACTTTTCATCCTGTTAACTTCCAGCATGAAAGTATTTGTTTGAGCCGCTCTTAAAGACGGACCTGATCCACTATCGAATCAGGAAACTGGAGTACTTGTGGTCCCAGACTCCCAGCACGTGTCGTGTTTTGGATCAGTGATTTTTAGCCTCAGCTGTTGTGTTACACCTGTTTTTACTCCTGACTGATGAGAGACTCTCAAACGCTGGCAATGCACGCCGAGTGCTCGTTCTCAGCAGAGTTTACTATTCTCGATAATGAGTCACTGCTGAGTGGCCTCGGTGGGACAGTGTGACTGTTAATGACTGGAGGAGATCATTTTCAAAATAAAATAGTCTCAATAACTTGTATTAATGCTATATTTAAAACTAAATCTGTATGACATTTAGGTTTGTAGAAAGTTCTTGAAAATGTTTTTAATCTGATTAACATTTCTYATAGGCAGATGAGCCAAGTTTGCCGGAGAGTAAGGACGTGGGGGAGACAGCAGAAGGTCAGAGGGTAATGGATGTTGGAGAGGAAGGCGAGCCAGATAAAGAACAAGATACAGCCAATGCTGGAGATACAGACGAGCTTCAGATTGTCCTGAAGTCTGCTGAATGTGATGCAGAACAGGGTGAAGACGACAAAGACGGGTCATCGGCTGCCGGTGACGTGAAGGAAGCTGAGACGACAGGAGAAGAAAACGATAAGCASGGTGAGGAAAAGGAGGAGAAAGAAGGCCAGACGGAGGAGACACACAGCTGTGAAAAAGAGGGAGAAGAAGAAAAGCTGAAGGAAAAAGAGGAGAGTAAATGTGAAATAGCAGCAAAGAATGACGACGTAAAAACCAAAGAGKCAAAAGGAACGGAGAAGAAAAAAACAGCAAAACAGGATCATGCAGAGATGACAGATAAAGGAAAAACTAAGGAGCCAGAAAAACAATTGAAGCCTAAAAGAAAGAGTGGTCCTCCCTCCTCTTTATCCAGACCAAGACCCTCGGCTCGCTCCATTAGAGCCTCAGCTAAAAATGACATCATAGCCAAGTTCCAACAAGGTGCACCAGAGTGAGTCCAGACCAGTATCTTAAATATGCTTTAGCGTTAATCATTCAGGAAATCTTACACCTGYTTTACTTGGCGACATTCTTTCAGAACACCGATTCCTCGCAATTTCAAAATTCAGCGGTCGTCTGCTGCCCCGGCGACAGGAGCCTCGATCAAGCAAAAGATGCTCCAGTGGTGCCACAACAAGACTCGCAACTACGAGGTGAGTTCAGGACATGGAAACCTTTCTATGGAGTTCTGGTTTGTTCTCCACGTTCCAGAACTGAGGAACAATGAAAAAGACCTGCTGTCTTTTAATATTTGCAGGGTGTCAACATAGAAAACTTTTCMTCGTCTTGGAGCAATGGGCTGGCATTCTGTGCTCTTATCCATCGTTTTTTCCCAGATGCTTTTGACTACAGCTYACTGAAACCAGAGGAGAGGGAGAAAAACTTCACGTTGGCTTTCCAAACTGCAGAGTACGGAATTTGTTGTCCTTAAACTCGATAATGACAAAATAAATAGGTTTAAAGATACTCAGATATAATTGGTTAACCGGGATGAGATGGGATACAATGAAATTGATAGATTTTAATGAGATAAGATGAGATAGAATGAAATAGGGTCAAATGAAATGGAATCAAATTACAGAATAAGATGGAAAAGAAAAAAAATGAGATGGGATGGGATGAGGAGAAGAATAAAATGAGGTGATATGGGTTAGAATGAYAGGATGAGAACAAATTAAATGGGATTAAAATAAATAGAATGAGATTAAATGAAGAGATGGAATTAAATTAGATGAAACAATGAGCTGATGGAAATAAGATGGGGTAAGATAAGATTAAAAGGACAATGAGATAAAAAGAATGAAATGAGATATGACAGGGTAGAATGATGGGATGAGAATAAATGAAATGAACTTAGAATAAATGAAATGAGATTAGATGAAATGGAGCTGAGATAGGATTTGGTAAAATGAGATAAAATTTAAAAATAATGAAGTGACATGAAATTAAATTAAATTTAAATGGGATGAGATGGAATAGGACAAGATGAAATATTGAAATGGATGAGATTAGATTGTATGAAATAAAATAAAATGAGATGAGATGAGATGAGATAAWGGGATGTATTGGGAACAATAGCCACACAATGTTAGTTGCTTATACTAATGACATTGTTAAATCTGCATCCTTTGTTCATATTTATGTCTCCTGAGCTTTTTTCCATTGCCCGTTCCTCCATCAGGTCCCTGGCTGACTGCTGCCCTCTGCTGGAGGTTTCTGACATGCTCATGATGGGCAACAACCCTGACCCCATGTGTGTGTTCACATACGTTCAGTCCCTCTGCCACAGCCTCTCCAAAATAGAAAAAGAGAGGAGGGACAAAGAGAAGGCTGGGGATCAAAAAGAAGAGAAAGAGGAAGCAGAGGAAGCAAATGAAGCAGCAGGAGATGTACCAAGTGCTGACAATGAACAGATGAAGAACCAAGAGGAGAAACAAGAAGAAGAAAGTGAAAAAGTAAARGGAAATGAAGAGGAAGACTCATCAAAGAGTTGTGAGATGGAGGAGGCCAAGGGAGCTTTGGTTGAGACACAGTCATAAAACATAACAGAAAAAGACTGAATAGACCAATGTTTGTTCATGGTAAGTTTTAATTCACTGTTTTAAAAACCATGGTAGAGGTTATGACACCGCTCTAAAATACTAGTTATTAGGACGTTGCTGTGTGTGTTTGTATTTTGCACATAGACATGCATTATATATGTTGAGCTCATGCGTGCTAATGTGAAAATAAAAATGTTTTAAGAAAAATATTAGCCTGTGTGAAAGGCTGATGAAAAAAGTCATGAATATAGTAAATTGTGTGTCCATATACATATAACATATTTGTCTTTGCCAGTTTTTACAAGATAATTTTAAACATGCTTATGTGAGAAATACAGACATTGTTCAAATGAGATTATTAGTTGTGTTACTGTTTTTGTGTATTTGACTGTACAACGAC